ACGCATGCACAAAAGTTCAAGACACATGGCACCACATGCAACCTCTCTTGTCCTCACCAAGACACGTGAATAGGCCAACAAAAGTGAGGAAGAAATGCTTGGTCAACACCCGCTACATGCACGGCATTTAAGGACTTGGGGGGAATCTCTTGAACAAGACATTGGCATGAGGACAAAGAGGTGCACGGCTATTAAGGGGGACAAAAATTGAAAGCATCTCTTGAACCAAATACTACAACCATGCACAAAATACACATGAAGGCACGGCAATTTGAATGGTTTTTTAAAAAAAAAACCGAACACTAGTGCTAATCTCGTGATTAATGTAAATTAGTCACTTAACTATGTTTAATTATCCAATTAAACATAATGCTCAATTATCAAAATTATTCCGAACGTAAACGGTACGTCGAAAATATCTTCCGGTAATTTTGACTGAAATAACTGAAAATAGATAATTCCGAAAAATAATATCGAAACTAAAATATAATTTATACTGATAAATAATCGGGATATTACAAGTTTCACATCTGAGTTCAGTATTTTTTACGTTCAGTACGATCTGAGTAGATAAGCATTCAGCATGATGAGATCAGTTCTAAGTATCATTCAAAAGATAATGAGATCAGTTCGAATATTTAGACTATTTGTACATTTAACTTCAGTAAGATTACTTCAGTTTCATATGCAGGTGTTCAGTATGCATTAAACCTAGTTTTCAACAAGTATACTGAAACACAGAACTTTTCTTTACTGAGTTAATATCATGCATGCATATTAAATAATTGTAATGTAAAGGAGTTTAAGGATAGAAAGATAGTACTCAGTAGTTTTATCCTGGTTCGGGTACCGTCCCCTACGTCCAGTCCTCAAGGTACCGTTCCTTGAGATTGCCACTATTGAGCTCTTTCAACAGGTAGAGCATCAAACCTTTACATTCAGCATCAGTAGCTAAAGCTCAGATGAGTACCATCCTCATCCTTACCACTTGTACCACTACTGGAACAAATGAGCAAGTTTACTGAAGAAGTACCATCCTTCTCAGTTATCTTACACACTTCATTACAAGGCTTCCACTCCTTGCACTGCTTATACCGAAGCAGGATTACAATGATTTTCATTTTCTTTTCTCAGATATGGAAGTTGTTTTGAACTAATCTCTCATTCCCATATATTTTGCTCTACAGCTCTCTTTTTCTTTGCTCTCATGGCTATTGTATTTCTTCTACAGTCTTTTCATGGATCTGTATTTCTTGGCTTTTCAGCTCTTAGATCTTGACTTTTTAGCCTTGGCACTTCAGCCTTTTGGCCCTTCAGCCCCTTGGCACTCCGGCCAGATCAGCGACGTAATGAAGCTTGATTGTCTTTTATATATAGCCTTCAGTTGTAGCCGTTGTCTATTGTTACCGTTTGAGCAATTTTAGAGCCGTTGTAACTTCGTACTTTCTTCTGACAGAGAGACCAGGTGATGGAGAAAGATGGGTATGGAAGGCTGACGTTTGATTCTTGCTTTCTTGGTCTCAACGTAGCTTCCCTCTTTCTACTTTCTCTTCTATCTTTGTGTGAGTTGGCCACTTAATTACGTGGCAGCAGCATAATTGCCTCACTTCTTTTGGGCTTTCTTCTTGTATTGGGCTTGATATGTAACTTTGTTCCTTGCCCATTAATTAATCACAAAGACTAGGCAATATTTTGATTTAACTTGATTAGCTCAATAAATAATTGCCTAAACATTAATTCAACATATTTTTCATATACTGAATAAACCATTTTGTTATCATCAAAACATAAATGGGATGGGGTCCCAACAATCCCAACAAGATTCAGTTAGCCTCAAGCAATCTTCAACAACCGAGCAGGCTTCCGATCCTCGGATTTTCTACAAAATTAGCAAAGGCAAAAACAGTCAGCCTCGAGCAACCCAAAGCACACTCCGAGTCATCAAGCCTCATTTAATAGCAATCCTCGGACGATCGATCCCCGAGAACAGGTATAACGCTACAACCTTTGTGGCTAGCCCGTGCTCTC